CACAAATTATGACACAAAAATATAAATGATTAGACAAAATAGCTTAAATCTCATAACATACATTTATATATATATATTTGTTATTTTCATTATGTTGACCTTTCACCTGTGCCTAGCTAACAATACAGAAGTTACAATGACGCGGTTTACGTGCACTCATGTTATTGTATCAAATAATATAAAGGTGACCTTTGGTCTGCACAAAGTAACTTGTCTAGGTCGTGTTTTAGTTGACTAGTATTTTTGTAAAACACAGTCATATTTCAATTATTGTACATTATATATGTGTATAGATTATTGCTATTTTCAGATAAGTTCTTAGTTATTTTTCCTAAACATAGAACAGTAAATAAAGAAGTAAAACAAACAATTATCTCTTCTAGTTATGACCTTTGTACTTGGTTGTTGCTTGACTTAGGTTGCTAAGCCTTTAAAAATTTTGCACGTGGAGGATATGAAACAAAATATTTTTTGTAGGTTTTATATATACTTTTGAATAACAAAAAAATCATAAATTACTACATTAATACCATAGAATTCTACTATAATTTATCAAACTTAGTAACTAAGCTGTATTTGGGTCTTAAAAAAATTAAATTTTGAGCAGACAAAAGACACACTCTACCTCATTGAAATCTTGGTTCAAAAGAAAGAAATGGTGTTAGGTACGTTAGAAAGGCTGAGAAAACCACTAGGGGACATTCTGAGCTTCCGATTGGTTATTCATGCCATATATAGAAGTAAGTGTGTATAAGGGAGCATTTCCAAAAATGGAAAGAGGTGAGTGGGGTGCCACTATGTTTGATTTATTAAGTGAGCAATATCTTAGCAAATAGAAAACATAAGACCTTCTTATTTTTATATTCTATCTTGTTAATATCTGGAATTTGAGTTTCTAATTTGTATGAAACTAAGACTTAGTATTTTGATTTCACAAACATCTAGTATGAACCAGTGCTACATTCAACATACCATGTGACACACAAAATTTGATGTTTATCTTTGTTTTTTTAATATTTACTTTTAAATTAACAAATTGAATAATGTATACTTTTAGAATTTGAATTATAATCTACAGTTTGATACCAAACTTACTGACATAAATTCATGAAACAGTAGTTCAATAAAATGTTGAATGCGAGTCAACAAACGAGATGACATGGCCTTTCCCCTGTGACCTGTCTCGAAAGGGTTAAACAATGGGCACTTGTGTATACTTTAACAGCAACGAGTCCATGCTAATGATCAAATGGTATCAACAATCACTTGATAGTATTGCTTGAACTTACTGCCTTTGGTCCCATCTGAGTCTAAACATGTGCACCGATTGGTTGAATTGAGAGAAAGAAGTAAAACAAAATGACATGAAATTAGTAAAGTTTGTGCAACCGCAGCACTTCATTCGTGAACAATGAAGAAGTGCTGAATTTGCCATTAAAATCCTTGATTCAATTTTGGAATAAAGAAAATGCAAAAATAGTTCCAGACTTTCAAGAGTCCAGAATTGTTCTAGATTTGAGTTATATTTAGCACAGCCCTACGCATGAATAAAATGGGAGAAAATACCAGGAGCCACAATGAAAATTTTAGCTTTCATAGCGACCTGGAACCTGAGATTTGTTGAGGCCTGGCTTATATAAACAGTTACTTGTTTTGTGTAGAAATTCTAATTCAAAAAATAATTTGTAATTAAATTTGTGTCTGTTTTTTGATTGTCATTTATACATCTGTTTACAAGTAGTGTTTAATGTACTTGTTTGTGTATAGATGAATAATGCATCAATTTCATATAAATAGGACAATTAAAGCGATTGCTGGAAGACAAGATCAAATTTGGGAAATCTACATTTGAGATACAAGCTCTTCCTCGTCTTCAAAAATTAGATGTCTCTGTTAGCAAAGAAAGACTGAAATTGTTTAATACTGTTAAAGCTATTCGTGAATATCAGCGAGATAAGATTCAACAACAGGTATGGTTATAAAAATTTTGCTAACAAGCATTTACAACTCTCTGAGATTAACACATTGGTAATGATTGTTTGAGTGGTATAGGGAAATTTGGAGTTGTAATACATTATCACTAATATGTCAAAATTTGTGAAATGTAAAAGGGTCTTTTGCAGAAATAATCTCCCCAAAACCCCAAAGCCTAATGCATATTTAGAGTATACATTGTAACTGTGCCAACAGATATGTACACAATGTTAATCACACTATAATAGTGACATTTTAAGACCTGTGCCTCCCTTAGAACTTCTTCCTCCTTTGTTTATCATGCTGAAACTGATAGTCATGATTATACAGTATTTGCTTGACAGTACTATTTTCATTGTAAAATCATTTGTGTCAGATATGGTAAAATCAATCTCAGAATACACAATCTTGACAAACTCTCCACAAATCCTTCATTTGTACACAGGACCAAATGTAAGTAAATCAAATGTATAGAATATAGAAGTCTGATACACATTCAGATGACTTCTAAGTTGGAGAACACCAGTTTCATTTTCCATGGTGTGATAAACGTTGCTTTGGACTTATTCATGTAACTTGACATTTTATTCTTATGTAATAATACATCAGGTGAGAGAGACAATATACATTGCAAATAATATCTTTTTAAATTACCAGGATATGCAATCATGAGTACGTAGATCACCAACTTGAGAAATTTAAATAAATACTAAGGACTCAAGCAGAGATTTCTAATAGAATAAAACGTAGTTTCATTATTACCTTGACAATATACAATATAAGTGCATCATTAGATAATTACAGACAAAATAACTTGGTTTTAATGAGACTCTCCAATATGCCTAACAGTATTGCAATTATTTTTACTAGTACTTTGATCAAATTAATCCAGGTCTCATTACACCTTTCTACATTTACAATGTGTCTAGATGCTAGTTGACAAGGCAAATTTACTTATACAGAAGTTGAATGTGAAAAATTCTCAATGGGTTAAAGGCCGGACTGTAAATTTCTGAGAGCAGATTGTTAGTGAAACCCACTGTAGGAAGACTGGAAGAAGACTAGTTACTGACTTGTGATAATTTCAGACCAACTTTTGTACAGGATGTTTTTGAAGGTTCCAGAACTAGAACTAGTGCACATTATTTTGCATTTAGCATGAAGATTTTATACTCAGCTTGAAATATCTCAGGATCATTTAACTTCAAGAATTCTCTAGTCATCCCCAGACATGTAGCTAAAAGCCCTGGGCTTTTGCATGTGCTTTACTGGCATTAACAGTCTACATCAAGAGCTCTAGTATCTTTCAACTTCTTCTTATATCCTTTCTAATGAACTTCTTTCAGGATATGTAATACTCTTATGTACTTAACGACTTCATGTTTCAATAATTGTAAACATCCTGGCAGTTTGCTGGATTAAGTATTATATAATTGCTGAGACGGTTAGATATAGTAATTTCTGTCTAAAAGTCTCGTCTTTTGATAAACACTTGCTATCACATAGAATTTTATTGCTGTCTGGTTGCTTTCTTTATAAAGTCAGTTATTTTCTCAGCACTTCTTTAGCTATGTTGTAAAATGTATTCTTATTCAATGTTATTAAAATGTTACTTGTTGTTGACCAACCCATATTTAGTTTCATCATATTTGATAAGATGCTGCTCTTTCCATATTATAAATTATGTTGGATAATTGATTAAATAATCTTCATAAATTCCATTCGTACACTCGCTTCACTGGTGTAACTATATTGTATTGGCATCATTGTTGTACAGTGGGGACATAAGTAGTCAAGGTTCCATTTTCTAGTTTACAGTAAGGTCATGGTTCAGAAAAACATCTTTCACCACAAACAAACCTATAGACAGGTCTTTACAAAAAATATCAATAACCTTTACCACTTTTTGTTGCTTACTTAATAGACACTAAAATTGTGTTTTGGTTTTCGAGTTTTCAGTGTGATCTATTATAGAATGAATATGTTTTTAGTACACTGAACTTTCTTTATTGCTCTAAATTTATGATGTGAATGTAATTAAAATATAGCAGAAAAATATTACAAATGATTTGGACATCAGTTCATGCTGGAAAGTTATTACAATGTATCACCTCAGTGATTCACCTTATTGTCAGTATCAAATTATTTCAATTCTTGGTCATTTAGAAACATGCAGACCTAATCTAATATTGCAACAGCCTTCCACTTCTCAAGCTACAAGTGTTTTTCATACAGTTTTCTTCTGATTCTTTTTCTCTTACTGATGTGTTTTAGGTGCACTTGTGCATTTGTGGTTTATACTTCTTTATAAAGGCAAGATCTTAAGCAATTATCAGTACAGTTGATTGAGGTATGTATAACTTCCTAGCAGTCATTTTCAGATTCTTTTTACTGGTTGTCCTGCTTGTAGCAACAGTCATGCACTTGTTAACCTTATCGCGATGGGTATTCTTTACTGCTCATGACACAATATTTTAGTGTCTTACATTCAAAATTTTATTAAACTACTTTTTATTTATATAATACTAATTAGAATAGCATGAAATCTTAGCCAATAATCCATATTTTAGTGATATACAAGTTTTAGGTTCTTAATTCTACAAGGCAATATTTAAAAAAAATCCTCAATTTCCACAAGTGTGACCCACGTGACATATTTTCTCTTGGCATATCATCATCCCTATTTTATCTACCACCCCCGAGATAAAGTACGAAATTAAATGTAAATTACTCTCTATAAAATCGTTATTGCTCAGACAAACCATAATTTTTATAGCCTTCAATTTTGTTTGATTACAGAACTATCAAATAGAAAATCAGACCCCTCCTGCCACACCCATCTGTCACACACATATAAGTGAGTGGAGGTAATGTACCATATCAGAAGTTATAATTTTCGTACACTGAATATGTATTTCCGATAGGTACTTACTTTTGTTGCATTAAGTATTTTAATACAAGTATTATGTGAAGACATATAAGCAAGTTGACTATATCTTTTGTACAACTAAACATGCAAGTCCATCATCAGAGGTGAAAAATTCAAATTATAGTTCAAGAATAGTTAATGACACCTAACAATTTGTTCAATAAATATATAGAATTAAAAGGTGAGAGAAAAACACATGATACAACTTATCAATTCATAAATGGAGGCTCTAAACAAATGAGACTAAGGACCTTTAATTATTAGTGAACACAGAGTTCAAAAATTTTGTAATAGAACTTGCAGGATTCAAGTCTGAATTTAGAATATCAAAAGCATGTAGGCCTTATATACAAATGAGTCACTAATGTTTGTATGATCAACTCCTAATTTTCGGATTGAATAATGTTTGCCATTTTCAGTGGATTTATGTATTCATAATCATGCTTGTGTTATCAATTGGCAACATCATGCAGTTGCCAATTGGTGGTCACTGGCAAAACAGTGTAATTCACTAGCTTTTTTTCTGGCTAACTGTTCCTAATTTTGAGTCCTTGAATGGGTACTTCTTTGTTCATACCTGTGGATGTAGGAGGCAGCTTGAGTTTTAAGTTGGAAATTTTTTTTTTTTTGCTGTGAAGAGTGTAGAAAAGGTGTGGATATAAATATAATAGTACACCTTGTAAAGTTAATGTAACTTTTGTATGTCCCATATAAACATCAGCAACAGTACATAAAGTTTGAAGTATTATCAAAGCTCTAGGTTACTGAATGCTATAATAACACTGAAAGTTATTTGCATACTCCATGTACACTGATTTAAAGTTGTTGTTACATGCATATTTCTGTCAGTGTTTAGATAGTTTTATGGCTCATTTTTTGGGGGGCATTAATACTCTGCAAAATATTTAAAGTAAGGTAAATAAATGTATTCACATGTAGAATTACTTGGTCTAAATAAATTTCAAAAACGTGAGGTTTATTGTTATTTTTTAGATAAATGAACAAATTGAAGTTGATAAAACCAGTAATTGCAAAATACATCTGTGTTTGCATATGGACTTGTGAACCTATTTTACTGAAACTACATTTTTCACGATGAATACACTGGAATGGTTAGCAACTGTCTGTTGTAGGAAAAACATAAGTGTAGAGGACGATGTTTTGAAAGTGTTCTGTCTTTCATCTTCTGGTCAGTGTGTATAAGCTGTTTCAGCCCTTTTATAGTAACCTGGTGGACTGTGTAGGACATGTTGTGATTGGTTGTTTACCCCTGGTTCTGATTGGTGGAATGGCTGTATATGGCTTCAACCAATGGTAGTCATAGGCTGCTCACCTGTAATCCCAAATCTTTGTTTAGTGAAGGCTTTATTGTATTGATGTAGAAACATTCTTTAATTTTTCTTGTCTTCTAAAATTTATCTGTGTCGACGATTCTAGTTTTATTTTGTGTCTAGTTAACATGGAGTGTTCCGCAATTGCTGATTTTTGTTTTTTTGTGAGTCTTTGTGTTCTTTTTTCTTTTTTTTTCTACAACAAGCATTTGCTGCCCATTCCAGTATACACATCATGAATACTCTGCCTAAACAATCTATCAAAATATACATTTTTCATGACTATGTTGGTTTGCTGAATAACACAGTATAAGAAATAAACAAAATTTATGTTTGACTGCTTCAACTCAGTTTTGTACTTGAAGTACTACTTATTTCAAAAACTGAATTCATGCCAAGAATATCTTTTTTTGTATATTTTTGGGTTCAGTGAATTTTTGACTTTAGGGGATGATGATATTATTATTATGTCTTTATTTTATAACACATTTTTAGCCCAATAAATAGTGAACTTTACATTGTATTTAAATGGATTGGTAATTACTTATCAATAATTTCGATATGATTACTTACAAATTCTCATAGATACAGTTATTCTCAATTTGACTGCCCTCTAATGTGCAAATGTTTGCTCGCCACTAGCCTTGAAACTCTCACCTAATTACACGAGTATACCATGTGGTTTAGCTGCATTTAAACATGTAAATTAGCATGCAAAAGTCCTCCACCAATAGGAGTGTGACAAACCATCCTATCACAGCTGACTCCCTCTATGCAGTTGAACCCAGTCTTCATTTCTTGATAAACATTTTTTTTTTTCTTCTTTAGTGTGCTTTGAAAATATTCAGCTACTGATTTTAGCAATTCAAAGTATTGTTTATAACCCACTATTATGTTAGATTTCTTTATTTGATTGTAATTGTATTTCTCACTCAATTACCGGGAGTCAGTCAATATTTGTGAATTCACAATTTAATATTATAAATACAATGGCTACTGGCATTCAACACCCAGGGACAATGGCTGCAGGTGCAGTGTTATCGGTGTAGGAATTGTCGGCCATAGTTCATTGGGAGATGGCTTCTTTCATACGGGCTGAGAGATGTTCCGTTCTACAATCCTGCCATTACTTGAGGACTTAGATCAGGATGATGTGGACAGCCTCCTTCTCCTTTCTTTGCTGTTCAGGCATGTTTTCAGCCTGATAAAGCACGTAGACCTCAGTCAACATTCAGACTTGATATCACAGCTATGTTGTGTTTTTTATATCATTTGATCGGTCCCTTTTTTATTAATTGTAGCACCTAGTTCTGAGTTTTGTCCCCCCCCCCCTGCCTGATATTGGGATCCATGCCAAATGATTTGCAGATCAATCAAGTGTGAGGGTTAGTATGCTGTGCCCCATGTATTACAGAGACTCATGCACTTGAATATCATCATCCAGCAAACCCTTGGGTCATTCAAGTTTTGTCAGAAGTACTCTCTCTTCTTTTCCTCACACTTCCTGCCTTATTCTCTGTCCCAGTTCCTCCCCTCCCCTTAAGATCCTGTTTTCTGCCAGCATCTCACAAAAGTGGTTCAGGACCTTCTCATCAAGAGCAACATCGAACAGGTTTCTACTGTACCTCCAGGATTATTTTCCTGATGTTGTCATCCTGTCAGAATTGTTCCTTTGACGTGCCTTGGTTTATCATGGAATCCTACCTGCCTCTCAGATGGGCCTTTCTTCCAGGGCTTTGGATGACGAGATTCGATGTGTCTGCTTATCTTCACATCCCTATTGCTCAGGATTCACATCATTATCTAGGTTTTGTCCATGAGGATCTTTTTTTTAATTTTGAGCTCTTCCTTTCAAGCTGGCATTGGCACCCTGTACTTTCTGTTGGGTGGTCTGGTCATTTGCCCAATTCTTACATTTTTGTGGGCTCAATTTCCATCATTATATGGGCAACTGGCTTCTTCTGGCTCCCTCCTTTGCAAAGTCTTCCTCACACATCCAAGTTCTCCACAGATTTGCTGCTCACTGGGTTGGTTAATCAAGATGGAGAAGTTCATTATCTACCCCACTCAATATCTTTTTCATTTATTTATTTAGTTTTTTTTCAACTTGCATATCAATCAAGCTCAGCCTTCTCCTCTTTATCTGCTATACATGGAGTTTTTAGTTCAGAGGGTACTATCAGCACCTCCCCTCTCTGTGTGAGAAGTTCTGTCTCTTTTGGGGACTTGGGCATCACTGGAGGCTTTTATCACTTTGAGCTATGCTCACATGTGTTCCTTGCAGTGGGTAGTACAAGATGAATGGCACCTCATCTGGAGCCTCTGGATTTACAGATATTACTTCCTGCTTCCCTTCAATCCAACTTCCTTTGTTGTTTAGACATGGACAACACAACAGTGGAGGTATCTGTTTCTCCTCACTGTCCAGATATCCATGTCTTCAGAAAAGCCTCGTTGTCAGGATGGAGTGTATCCTGCAATACACAAGACATTTCGGACCATGGGTGTCAGGAGGAGTTGGGTCTTCACATCATCCTTTTGGAACTCTTTGCTGTTCGTCGAGTGGTCGCTCATTTTCTGTCATCTCTGTAGGACATGACAGTTATGATTCATTCCGACAACTCGATGGTTGTCTTTTACATCATCAGTCAAGGGGGCACTTGATCCCAGTCCTTATGTTCCTGCAATATAGTTCTCCTCTTCTGGGCTCACAGTCATCACATTTGTTTGCTGCTTTGTCACATACCAGGTGCCCTCAATCTTGCCGTGGATCGTTTGTCCCATCCTGACAAAATTCTGCTCAACCCACGGTATTCCGATGGCTTTGTTCTCAGTTGGGTTCTCCCCAACTGGATGCATTTTCCACTCATTTGAATGCCAATCCTCCTCTCCTTTGAGTAATTTCTCTCATTCAATCCACTCTGTGTCAGGTCCTTCTTGTGGCTCCTTTCTCGCCGACTCAACCATGCTTTCTGTCTTTTCTTCAGGAACAACCTCCATTATCTTTCCCTCGCTCCTGGTCTCTCCTCTGGCAACCTCACTCTGAAGTACTTCAACCCTCTGTTTCCACACTCCAGCTTCATGCATGGCTTTCATCTGGTCCCTTGCGAGGGGTTCGGGACTATCCACGCATGTAGCATCCCTGTTGTCTCAAACTGTCCATTCCTCATCCATGTCAATGTTTCAATGTAAGTGGAGAATGTTCTTTTGTTGGTCTAACTGACATGGATTCTCCCCTTCCTCAGGATCTGATTTTTTTACATGGTTATTTGACAAGGGTTTGTTCTTTTCACCCATTGCCTGTTATAGGGCAGCCCTGTCATCTACCTTTTGTTTTTCCATTTTTGCCATATGTTTTCCTCTCCAGTTATTTACCTTCGTTTGATATCCAATATTTAATCCCACCCTGATCTGGATCATCTTGTGTGTCTGGTCCATGCTTTACAGTGTTATACATCACACACAGCACCCTTCTGTGGCTCTCACTCCCATTTGTTTGTCCATTGGAATTCGTCCATTTCTCATTATATTTTTCCTACCCTTACCAATTGGATTTGTTAGCTTATCCCTTCTTCCTGAATCTTGCAATTTTGTTCTTTGTGTTGTCACATCAGATCTGTCACCTCATACGGTCCTTGGCTGATCATTTCCATTGTCCTTTGGAGGACAATTATTCAGGCCAGCAGGTGGACCACTCCCTACACTTTTGAGTCACACTACTCGCACCATCTGGTAGTTTCCTGTTCAGCAAGATATCATCTTCCCCTTGTAACTGTTCTCCATACGTTGATATAACTCTGAGTAGATAAGTTATTTTATTTCATTTCTCCATATTTTTGGTTATGGATCCTGCTCCGTGGTTGTGGTGAGTGGTGCTTGTCTAGGTATCCTGATACCCATAATATGCACTGTGAGATCAGTAAGGTCTATCGCACTCACTGTTAAGATGGTGTGTTCCACAAAATCACTTGCAGGTTCCACCTTAGGGCATATTTCATCATAAATATGTTCGTACTGGACCGTACACTCATGGACTAACATGAGTAAAGCAGAGAAAGAGATTTCTGCCTATCTCTAACATTCCTTAAATTGCCAAATTGGGAATTATTTGCTTTTCAAAATAGGGTTTTGTGGTCACCCATTGCACTTTCTCTAGTGATACATTCCTCTGGACTCTCCAATGTGTTTCTTCCTCCCTTCTTCCAGTATAGTATGGGAGTCCTTACCACTTACCAGCTCCTAGTTGTTGGGGTGGTGGATCATGGAAGAATCCTCCTGAGTATGCACAATTCTACTCAGTTTAAAGTAGAACGATGGGATTCTGCCTGTGTAGAAAACGTGACTATCTTCCTGCTGTGGGTCTGATGTTTTATTCTGGTTACCACCAGTCTTGACTGAATTTTTCTATCTATTTTGCAGTTTTCCCCTCTGGTTGGGAACCCTCCCTCCTTCCTACTGCTTTCATGTCAGTTTTGGTTAGAACTAATATAAATCTTCACATGTGAGTAGGATGGAATTGCCCCCCACACACACACATTGCACTTCCACCTTCCAGACATTGTCCGGATGTACATTTCTGGGATTTATTGTTGCTAGACCTGAGGTGAATAGTTGAGGACCCTCCTCCTGCCATGAGCTGGTTGAGTTCCTCCCTGTGCCACTGTTCTGGACTGGAGTTGATTTCCCACATACGGGGTGACACCTCCTGGCCACTCTACACACATTCCTCTGCCTTAGAGATTTGGAATTGTTACCTTGTTCTGCCCTTTGATTGCAACACCACAACTGTTGGATCCACATGGGTGAAGAGTATACCTGGTTCAGATGTGGTGCAGTCTCCCATGAGTGTATTTCCTCTCTATATAGAGATGGCACACTCCATGGGTGTTCATCTAAGCTATTTTACACTAGTCCCTCTACCTGCTCAATGTGGGATTCTAGTTGTAACTGTGAGAAGATGTAAGTAATCATATCAAAGTTAATATTTCCCTACGTGGAAAATATATTTCTCATAGATATCTGCTTTCACACTTCCCATCTATCCTCCCTACTTCCAGTGTCATTTTTCATCTCTAATTTCAAAGTGAAGATTGGGTTCAACTGTATAAAAGGGGGTCAGTTGAGATAGGAGAGTTTGTTGCACACTAATTTGAATGTTTAAACACAGCTGAACCACATGTTATACACATGTTATTAGATGGGAATTTCAAGGCTAGTGGCAAGCGAAAATTGGCACACTAGAGGGCTGTCAAATCGAGAGTAGCTTTAACTGTGAAAGGAGGTAAGCATCTGTTTAAAATATATTTTCCATGTAGGAAAATATTAACTTTGTGCTGTTATTTAAGTTGAGGTTTTTCTTTTTGCTACAGCTAGAAAAACTTAAGTTTGATAAAAACTGGAAAGAAGAAGCACTTATGATAGAATCTGCTGTATATGAAGCCCAGATAAGTGTTTTTGACAGTAGATTAGATATACTTCAGGAGCAAGAATGTCTTTTTAAGAAACAACTGTCAATCGTACAGAAAGCAACACAAGGTCTGTATTGCATATGTTCAAATAGTTTATGGATAAGTGGGTATTTTAGGGTTATTCTATTTGAGTTAAATTTAGATTATGATATTTAAGGTCTTTAATTGTTCCCTTTTACAGTTATGCTTAGGAAAATAAAGTTAATTAGTGCCTTTTTTAAACTAAAATCTACTATAGACCAGCTTGATTGTAAAGATTTAATTTAAACTTCAATTATTTTTTTTTATAGTAGTTCTTTTAGTAGTTGTATTAACCTCTTTACTGCTAAGTGTTTGAAATAAATGGATGACTGAGGGGGCCATCTCTTTATCTTGAATGTAACTACATTTAGGCTATGGTCATGGATAGGGTGGGTGGGGTTCAAAGTGCACAAGCCATGACCTTTTACAGAGTGCCATTCAACATGGTATTATATATATTTGATATCAGAGTTATTAGTTATTCATTGTATCCCACATCGCTGATTTAACAATAGTTCATGGTAAAGTAGGTTAAATACCAATGCTATATGCAGAGATACTGAAAGATCCTGTAGATATACATTTTGGAAGTTCTAAAGGTTATGCAAATACAATATGCAAACTAGATGATAGATAAAATTATCTTTATTCTTCATATGAACATCACCTTACACTGTAACTTATCATAGTCTGAGTCAGATTAATGTTGTCCAATCAGAGACTTGAGTGCCTTTCTAACTCATCTGATATTTTGTGTACAACAGATTTGTATATTTCGCTAAAAGCTTACCACATTTCTTTTAGATACACATAGTAAATTTGGAATTATAGTCAATATTCCTTCTCCAATATTGGGTTGATCCAATGGACTGAGCCTGTACACATTGGCTTAAATTGTTTCAAAACTATTACTGATTAATTAATGAAATGACAATTTTATTCTGTCACGAAAAATATATAAATCATATGAAGTATCTGTTTCAAACTTAGCTGTGCTAAATGCCTTGAAAACTCTTCTAAGACTTAATGTAACATCAGAATACTAGGTGGGGTGTAAATCTAGTTCTTTGTATACCAGCTATGAAATAGTAAATGTAGTTTATAGATGGAAAATCTTCTTATTCAAAATAGCAGTTTGAAATAATTAACAGACCTTGAATAGTACTTCAAAATAGAGACTTAGGACCATGTTATTGAGTTTTATTATTCTAAATTAAGTTTAATGTTGCAACTTCATATTTTATTATTTTTTAAATACCTTTTAAAACAATTAAATTTGTTAATCTTCATTAATTCATACTTGATTTTACAGTAATATATGATCTAAGAAATCTTTTTTCAACTACTACAGCTGGCTACCTCATTGAATGTATTATCATGAATGATTTTTATTTTAGCAGGGCTATTCCTTGTTCTTCACAATTTTGCTATTTTTCTGATAGTTAATTTAAACTTTTAGCTTAGAATATATTAAAAGAAGCAGTCATTATAATTATACTTCTGCAAATCAGTCAAATTAGCATAACTTGAAGCCAGAATCACTAGTGATATACGTTGTGAGGAAAAAAAACTTTTAATATTTTAATTTCATCATAAAACATACTAATAACTCAATTTTGAGTTCTAAGTAAGTTTCTGGACATTGTGTTTCTGAGATATCAAAAAATTAATCTTGTAATTAATATGAACTTCTGATCAGAGTAAGCTATCTACTTAGAATAAAACGAAATATCAATTTGGTAATGAGATGTGTATAGTTAATTAAATATATTTTTCATACTTTCTTACTTATAACGATTTTTTCATCAATTGGGTACCTTACTGTTAACAATATTTCTGGCTATAAACCTAATATCTTAGGATGTTTGGGTCAATTTAGAAGATTTTGGTTAGTCCTAAATACATATATTAAACTAATAACTCAAAACAATCTCTATAATAAATGTATAATGATAAAAATAATAAAAATTTAGATGTATTAAAAATTCTAACTAATACTGTTAATGAAAATATCAATAAGGAAATAATAGAATATACCTTACTTACAGAACAAACAAATGCTTGCTCAGTTTAGCTATGAAAGCAACAGTAATACTGACTGAAGCTAGAAGGACTTGAGAGTGCTTAGCACTGAAACATACAAGTCATTTTTAATATATTTGAGTGGTCTGTAAAATGTTTTAATTTGAGGATAAATTAGTTTAGATGATTCAACTAATCCAACACCATAAGATTTTACAGAATATAAGATATTTTACAACATATTAATACCAAACTTATTTTGGAATAAATGATATTTGTTTAGAGTGGACAGGTATTTACTACTTATAGACTTGTTTGTTTTTAAAATAGAGACATGACTGACTCATTCAGAACACTTATTTTTGTAATACCATAGAAAACAACAATTATAATTATTCCACAGATTCATAGTGTTTTTATAATTAATTATTGAAATAAGTATTCAAAAGCTGTGAATTATATTATGACCATGAAATGTGAAGTAACATTAATTCATTTTGTGTACCTTGAACATACACCCATAATTATACTTATTAATAGGTTTCAGGAAATTAAAATAATTATAGATTATGTTGCACATTTTAGAATGTAGTATTGTGATAATCTATTTTGTTATTGGTTATAGATGAATTAGATGTTGGGATATTCCACGATGCCATGGAGTACTTTGACGAAGGTGCTGAAGAAAAACCAGTACCTCAAGCTGACCCCAAAATTATCAAACTGAAAGCAAAATTAAATAGTGTATACAGGAAAAGAGCTGCTATCAGAAATCGCAAGGTAAAAAAAAACTAACAAGAGGATTTACTCTTTGTTTCAGAAACTTCAGAAAATGGTTTCCACTGTGTATTTTCCTCAACAATATTGTGGAATTGATATTTTGTCATTTTGCAACATTTATTTAGTGTAATTTGCAAAGAAAAAAAAACAAAAAAAACATGACTGTATTTCTGAGGAGCCTTACCTGTAAGTAATGCACCTTTGAACTTTTTATATTTATTTCTATCAATCCCAAAACATATGTTAATATTTGCTAAGAAATTATCCTCCCTTGGGAATACAGTTTACAAGGTCTGCCCTCTCTATTTGAATGTAACTATGCACACTTCGACTTATTTGTGGCAAGATGTTAATAATCTTTTATTTTTAATTTTGTTAAGTACTTTTGCTGTAAAAGAAAAAATCAACGGACATCAATTATTCTCCCAATGGTCTAGAAAGGGTTAATTTATTTAACAGATTAATTTTATATGATATTTACAAATATTTTTAAAGCAAAACTAATGCTTTGAAAGGTGATATAAAATTACATTTCATTGCATTGTGTCATAGGAGTTACAACATGATTTCTCTTTATAAATGTGCTATAGAATATGTGCTATATACTAATCTTCCCCTTTATCCCTGTAAAGATGTATTTGCCTTGGCCATGCATATAATGTATTCCAAGGGAATATCCAAGTTTTCTAATGGTTGTATCTTTTGTAGAACCTTTGTCATGTGACTACCACACATATTCAAAAATTTTTAGGGTATATAATTCTGCAGCTGTATATTGTTTAGCCATGCTAAACTTGAAAAACAAAACTGGATCAACTATGTTTTCACTTGTACAACAGGCTTCCCTCCCTATTATCCCAGAAAAATCAAATTAGTGAATGTTGGAGAAACCCCCAAAATTTTTAAAGTTTTCAATACGGGATGCCTGTAAAATGTGAGCTTTAATGCTACTAAAAGATGAATGATCACAAGAAATGGTTTCTATCATGAAATCATAAACAACCTGTTTTAATGGCTATGCAATTATGTAGAAAAGATCATAAAATTATAATGAAATTACTCAAACAAGTGTTCTGCATAGGGAGTAAATTGCTGTCACAGTGAAGGGGTATCCTCAATTATTTAATTTTGAAATTAAAAAATGGCAAACCATGAGAAGTGATAGTGTTTCCTCCATTTGTATATATAATATAATTATATATATAATTAGATATAATTGAGTACTCAGTAGCCAAAGATTACATCAAATTCTTGTGTTATCTTACTCACTTAATAGTATAACAATAATATGGACTGTAATGAAGCCAAAATTTATTATTTCTCATTGAATTTCTCACTGGTAGTTTTTATTATATTACACTGTTATTATTATTATTTCCCCAAAAGGGGGCCAAAGGCTGCCTGGAGAGACCACTTGCAACACTATACAGTAGTGTGTTGCCTGTCAGTCACTCAGAAGAAACTAAAATGATGCCACATAAAAGATGCTTACCCTTATGGTTATCAGTTTGAACCCATTTGGCTACTTCTTGTATGGAAAATGATACACAGTTCAACAATACTTACAATAACTCTGAGTTTTCTTAATATATCTTCACAACAATTGGTAAGATTTTGTTAAGGATTACAAGTATTTTGTATATGTCATGGTATAAAGGACTATTTAGTGTAGTTAGTACTAACTATTTATTTTGTGAGTTAATATTTCATTATTGTGTAGTTGTTTTTTTATAATAAGAGAGTTAAAAGCAGATGATTGTTGGAAGTTGTGTTTATAATTCAATGATATTGAGGCTATCAAATGTCACATGAAATTCAGGCGATTAAGTGATAAATAGATAAATGGTGTGAGACGAGTGGGAACAGCAGACAAGACAGAGCAGATGAGAAAGTAAAGTCATGGGAAGTAGATGTTTGGCCAAGGAAAGTTAAAGGTAAAGTTAACTGCCATAGGGGTGAAAGGCCTAATGATTAATATGTTAGAGGAAAACTAACAGTTTTAAAAGAGATAAGAAGTTTAGTTTATTCTGTCAAAGGGAGTTCTAAAGTAATTGAACCAGTCTCAGTGCACTTTGACAAAAGGAACAGACGAAATCTGAAGTACGAGGACAAGACGATTACTGGCAGAGCAGTATACGACTGTGGTAACTCATGCTATAATTGTAAGTGAATTATACACGGAATACTAGTGTGATAGAAATGTATGTTGGCTTGTCAACTGAAATTCTGAAACCATTGAATAGGCCTAAGTAGACTTTTGACAAGAAGAAGAGAACTATATATATATATATATATTATTATAGTATTGTCTGAGATCGCCGAACGACGACACGAAGGGGTAGGTAGGAG